CTATCATCTCCATGTGACCTGATCATCTCCATGTGACCCTGATCATCTCCATGTGACCTACCATCTCCATGTGACCTGAACATTTCCATGTGACCTGATCATCTCCATGTGACCCTGAACTTCTTCACTGTAACCATGAACATCTCCAGTCCCTCTAAATCTGGGTGGTCTCTCCTAGCTGGAGTATTCCATGCTTCAACCAGGTGCAGAGCTGAAAGCAAATGCTTCTGTGGCGCCTGTACCAGCCTCTCACGAGGCATGGATGGTAGCATTGGCTGTGCCTAGGGGACATGTGCTGGGCCCCGCTGGTTAGGCCAGTGTTTTCTGTCCTCTAACAGACCGTCTGCTGTATTTTGAGATCAGTTCATGCCAACCTGCTTACGAAGGCACTCGTCTGGTGGCAGTGGGAAGACCAGCATATATGAAATAACAAATTGCAGTTTTGTAGTCAATATTTAAACATGTACTGAGTGTGTTTAACATGCCCACAGGCACAGTAGTGGGCACATTTCTAAAAATTCACATAATAGTGAGTCATTGCACCAAGCTTGCTTCTCTTCCCAGTAGTCTCACAACCATTTTGGCTTCTACATGCCTCCTCCTGGCCTCGATTTAAGGTTTTGAACATTTAGAACCTATAACACACAGTACATCCTCCTGGGACGCAGCAACGGACCCCTCTTGAGATGCCCTCCCGGGCCAGCACCCCCACAACCTCCGTGAATCCCTGCAGTGGAGCTCTCAGCTGTCACTCTCCTCAGGGGGACACACAGCTGGGTGGAGGACAAGAGACTCGACTGAACGGCCATGGCACCCTGGGTCAGCTCAGCACAGGGGGCCAGGATGCCACAGATCAGGGTCATGGGCCCCACAGACATGGCTTTTCCAGAAAGCAAGCCCTCGGCCAGCCCAGGGCGGAGACGAGGGAAGGTGGGTGTCCCCACTGAGGTCTGGGTGCGTCAGAGGGGCTGAGGGGCAGACAGGGGGAGGGTGCAGCAGGGCCAGCAGAGGCTGGACAGTTTGGTCAAGGGAGAAATCGAGAGCAGAGTGGAGGCAGGCGGGGCCACCCAGGAGCCCCATCTCCTCACCACCTCCACACCCCCCTTCAGCACACCTTCCCTTTACTCTAGCCATGACGGTTCCCCAGGGAAACTGAGGCCGGACTGGGTGGTCCCTGAGTACCCAGCTGCCCAATAACACCGTTTGAGCTGCTCACATGGAGAAGGAGCCCCATGGGCCGCCCCACAGTTGGAATATGGCAGGCAAGGTGAAGGGGAGCAGAGATCATCGGGGGGGGCCTCATGCCTGGGCCTCTGTGTTCACACACCCGGATGGCTTCCATGCACCCCACCAACCTTCCCCCAGCAAGGCAGAAGAGGAGGCCACCCACATGAAGGCAAAGCCACCTGCACACCTGCCGTCCTCTCCTTCCTCCACACACACCCCACGATCAGGGCCATGACAACGAGTCACAGCCATGACAAGAGGCTCGGCACACCCCCACAGGGCACAGAGAGGTTTCAGGACTGGGTCCCTAGTCAGTGATCAGTGATGAGGGTGACAGCGCAGGAACACGTGTCCAGAGGTCACCTGCCCACAGGTGTGGCCTGGAGCTGGTGTTGGGTCAGGCTGGCAGCAGAAGGGGCAGCAGCGGTGGGCAAACTCAGCTGAGGGGGTTCCAAGCTGGGGGAAGGGCATGTGTTGGGGTAGAGGCTGAGCACCACGCACCCTGAGAGCTGCAGGAGGTGAGGCCGGGGCGGAGCTGCCTCCCGTGGCCCCCCGGCCTCCCCACGCCTCAGCCTGGTCTCTGGGTTTGCGGTGTTGCGAGGGGACCGGCCTGCTGCAGTGGCACCCTAAGTCCAGGACCCTCTTCCCTTCCTCGCTCTGAGGAAACCCAGCCCCCCTTTGCACCCCCAGTGCCAGCTGCCTGTTCTCGGGGTCTCAGGGCCACCAGGCCTGGCCCCTCCTCATGGTCCCACAGCCACTTGGGAGCTGTCGCTTGCTGCTCCCTAACCGCAAATCTGAGCCGTCACACCCCGGGATGCCGCCCTCAGGAGCGCCAGGGCCCCTCCTCCCCCACCAGACTCCTGCCTCAGTTGTTCTCACGCTCCTCCAGCTGTATTCTGGAGGTGGGGTCTCAGCGAGCACAAGCTGGATGCACTGGCCTCTCTCTGCCCACTGCCACCAGCAAATGCTTCCGGAGCCCACAGCAGGCAGCCGCACTGGTTTTCTGGGCAGTGACCA